AGCAATAAAGTTTCATACGTTTTTATGAATTTTTAACGATTTTGTTAATGACCTATCAAATAAAAGACGAATACTTAGACAATACGTATTATCGAAATAAAACAGAAAACTAACAGCGTGAAAATGTGCTTAGGTATACCTAAAAAAAATAAACCGATGATTTTTATCATCATCATTAACAGCTCTTAATAGTCCACTGCTGGACGTAAGCCTCTCCTTAGAAATGAGGTTTTGACCTGTTATACCACGTTGGCCAGACGGGTTAGTTTCAAGTTTTCCTTGTCTTTGCAGTGCTGTTGTCCTGCGTAGTTTGCTCCCTTAGTCGGCTCTTACGATACCCACGGGAAGAATAGAGGTGGTAACACTCTGTATTCTTAATCCGTCCCAACACGGACAGTTCATAATTTTCATACATCCAGTGTCCAATATTCACACAAACATACATTTGGCACAGTCGAGTAAAAAGTTGTTCAATACAGTATTATGACTTTTCACCTGCCTTTTAACGGGCTTTAAAAAAGTAGAAGGTTCTCAATTAGTGAGAAACATTTTTCCCTATTATTTTTACCTAAATTACTTAAGGTTAGGGGAATCAAGAAAAACATTTTTGTTGAACAGCGAAAAAGATTTCCATAGAAGGAAAGCGGAAAAAGTTGGTTAGTCCTATAATACTTAGGTTTATTGATTACTCTAGGATTTTTATCAGGACCCTGTCATCAAATCCTGCCGATGACGGGGACCTCTACTTTATAAGTAATAATTTACTGTCACTAGTTCATATTGTTCTTACAATTTGGTTAGTGATCCTGACTGCTAAGCCGGAGGTCGTGGGTTCGATTCCCACCCAGAACAAATATTGTGTTATGAGTACGGTCATTTGTGCTTTGTCTAGGTGTAATTTATCTAAAATATGTATGTATTTAGATCTATATAAGTATGTTTATCAGCAGTCTGGTTACCATACACAGGCTCTGCCTAGTTTGGGATCAGACTGCCGTGTGTGAGATGTGTGAAGTTATTATTAGTTATTCATATTAATTAATTATCTAATCAAATACCAAACAAGGTGTACCTTAATTTTTATCAAGCTTTATTTTAAAACAACATTTAGAGAATTAATCAGGCCAAACAATCAGAGTAAGTTTAATGTCTCAAAGTTTATCATTGTAATCGATGTGTCAAAAATAAGGTTGTATTCGAAATCCACGAGAGCGATGAAAAATTCAGTACATTCACAGATCGAATGATAACCCGTGATTGAGAAGTGAAATTACGTGGCATTCTCTGTAAATGTTTATTTCGAAAATTGATATTGAGTAAGTATCGTATGTAGTGGTTAGATCGGCACCAGATGAAGAATTCTTTTTAAAAAATATGTTTTTTTTTTAAATCTTAGAATTAATGCGTTCCAGTAAGAACATACATTTAATGTTATTAATAATCAAATTACGTAAAACTTGTTATTGTTGTTAAGTAATATACTTAAAACTAATAGTTCAAATGAAGATACAGTTTAGAATTGTTTGTCATAAACATTTTTATGACTGGCCTGTTGTTCTAGTGGTTAGTGACAACGACTGCTAAGCCAGAGGCCTTGTGTTCGATTCCCACCCAGGACAAGTAATTGTGTGTTTAGCACGATCATTTGTTTTATGTCTGGGAATAATTTATTTATAATATGTATGTATTTAGAAGATTACAAGAATGTTCAACAGCAGTCTGGTTACAATAGTACAAACTCTTCTTTGTTTGGGATCATACGGCCGCGTCTGAGATGTGTGTTTATTTTTTAAATTAATTTTTAAATAAATAAACTCACGTCTTTAACCCCGAAAGCCGATTTTGCCGACTTCAGTTTAAAGTCCCACTTATAATATAAAGTAAGGAATAAGCCTTTTGTCGGTTCTAACTATTGCGTTGAATTAAATTAAATTCATCATGTTATTACATTGTGTGGTGGCGGCTTAAGAACACGGAATGGCACCGCCCCTAATCATAGCGTGGGTGTCGTAAGAGCAGACTAAGGGAGCAAACTACACAGGACAACAGCACTGCAAAGAGAAGGAAAACTTTTAACAAACCCCTATATCAACCCGTCTGGCCCGCATGGTATAATAGGCCAAAACCTCCTTTCTAAGGAGAGGCCTATGTCCAGCAGTGGACTGTTGAAGGCTGTTGATGATTACATTATACATTTTTTATATAATATAAATGCTTGTTGTGAGAAATATTGACACAAGTAATTCTAAGTAATCTTAGATCTATATAAAAGCGATATAAGAATTGGGTTTCTCTTTTTAATATATATCTTATGTCGCGGGAGACCTTACAAACTTTCATGAAACGGACACAAAGAAGACTCAGAACAACAATTTGTGGATCACATAAAGACAAAGTGTTGTCCCATGTGGGGATCGAACCCTCAGCGCAGTATGAAGCGGCTTGGCAACTGCTACAATCACTACGCCATCCGTGCATTCAATACCTACTTCTTTCTAAGTCTTACGCATTTAAATACTTCTTCTCTTTTGGAATATGTTGTGACGCATTGCACTTGATTTTTCGGTATCTAAGAAACTTTAGCAAATGAATAAAGAATATACGAATTCATATCACGACATAAGGTTTAAATTTTTGTATATGCAGTTAATATTTTATTAAAAAACTGGTACTCGTGCGAAAGTCAATTAAAGTTATCACATTAATTCATGTCATTAGTTACAGTCTCAGTGTGTTTGTTTTGCCAATCGCCGAATTAAAATATAGCGCAACGTATAAATTGCTTTGAAGTCAGTAACTTGTGGCAACTACATACATCAGACCATTGACGTAGGTCACTATTATGAGGTAGGTACCTATAGCTTGTGAAGAGGTAAAGTGAGGAGATTATTATCTCTTTTATTGATTTTCATTTTAGGGCTATAAAATACCTATATTTATATTGTCGTTTATGTGGCAATCAAATTATAGAATCGAAAAGTAATGTAATTAAGTAAAAAATATTCTACGAAGTCAGCTTTTATTTAGATCCACAAACGAGAAGAAAATTGATATTTGGGGTAAACTATGAAATTGCCGATTTGTACTGAAAAATTAAAACTCGTTTTTGTCTAACATATTTATTTATTGCACATATTATAACATTGCTACCATCAAAACGGCAGTTCATTTATGCCTTTGCTATAGAACTCTGGGGATCTAGATTCAACAAACAGTGTGAAAGCATTTTGTACTGTCACCTGGAAAGATTTTTTATCACGTAGAAAATTATCTAAATCACGAAAATAATGGTAGTTGGAGTCAGGTCTGGCGAGTACGGAGGATGATGTAGGGTTTTAACTGCAGCTCCTGTAGAGTTACAACGGTTCCTCGTGTAGTGTGAGGTCTTGAGTTATTATGGATCAATAATGGTGAAGATCGATTCACGAGTCGTTGCTGTTTCACTGTCAGTTTCACAATCATTGCTCGAAGTCATCTGCTGGAAGTCAGTCAACAGCAGATGTTATTGCCTGACCAGACCTGAGAAAGCTATAGTGAATATCACCATAAAAAGATCACCAAACAGTTACCATTCCCTTTTTGTTGGTAAGCTTTGCTTTAGGACACTTTTTTGGCGTTTGACCTGGAGCCATTGCATTTCGTTAACGGTTATCGTAAATAATGTACTTTTCGTCACATGTCACAATTCGATCCAATATTCCTTCATTTCTGTACTGATTCATAGTCATATCATGATACATGCATTTTTCATATTTTTTTATCTTATTGATTTGATGCAAATGAGTAAATATTGTAGGTAGGGTAACGTTAAACCATGCTGCTAATTCCTGGGTAGTTTGACTCGGATCGGCCAACCTGCCGAGTCGGAACTTGTATTCAAAAATGTCTCGGAATTTCGAATTATCCATCTTTCACGTCAATAAATAAAACACAATTGAAAATCGAATATTGCACATTTTTTTAAAGAAGAACCTCATAGGTATTATGTTAAAAAAGTTTCATACGAAAATCTCACAACATGAAGGTTTAATGTCAATTCAAAGTATCTGTTACATACAACGGCAATTTCATACTTTAAACCCTTAATTTAATTCAGTTACATTATTTTGTTACATTATAAGTGCGTAACAATTACTCAGAATTACTTTACAAGATTTAGAATTATATACAAAGAAATAACTGAATAAAATATCATCATAAATGCTATAAAAACAAGTTGCTAAGATAAATGCGCGTGAAATAAATGCACGCTTTTAATAAATGACATCGTTACACTACACTTTTAATTAAAAAGATGTATCATGGTATGAGAGAGAACATAATTAAAAGTAAACTAGATGGTTTAAAGCAATAATTAATGAAGCCAACACTTTATCCAGTGCGAAACGTCTCATTATCAAGAGGATGCTTGATACTAATAACTCCTAGAAATTACCGATCGAGAATGCTGATTAAAATTAAATGGTGTTTTTAACTATATTACCTTAGAATTTAACTTCACGGTACAATTTTAACAGAAGATTGATGTGATATGTAAAAATGTTATTACTCAACTTTTCGCTCGCTCAATTATTTTGTTTGACAATTTTTTAATTGAAAAGAAAAAGGCTGACAACGCGTTTGTTATTCCTGAGTTGCAGCCTGCATGGGCGGCAGTAGTGGCTTTCCATCAGACCCGTCTGCTCGTCTAACCCTCTTCCATAAAAAATCTACTATAATTTCTATAAATTACTAGCTGACCCGGCGAACTCTGTTTCGCCTTAAAGGCAATAAATAAGCCGATTTTCGAATTTATTTTTCTTAGAAAAAAAAATGAAGCCACATATAATTGACCATGGGAAAAACATGGATGTTCTAGATTCAAACCACAAACTTTTAAGGATTGGCCTTGTGATTTGTTGATGGTCATGGAAAATGCAAGACGGATCGGAAATTGAAGTCTTTTAAATTCAAACGGCAAATCGGTTGGGATCATCGGGATCCTCGGAATGAGAACTTTCTCACCTTTGAATTTTCCTTTCAGTATCGTCGCGTAAATTACATTGTTCATCAATTTTCTAACCACCAAACGCGTACCGTTGCACAGTTTTGGTTGGCTTATGTTTCGAAACATGATTACTACGGAGCCAACCTTTAGGCTTAAATTGTGCGGTGGTAAGCCAGGCACATCAAGGGAGTTTAAAAATTCAATTGGATAGTTGGTGGCTTCATCTTCATTTGTGACGCAGTCAATAGATTTGAATAAATGCATTGTTTCAATGATCTTATTTTGAATTATATAGTTCAGGTCGTCTACATCTTTATTCTTAGCCGCTAAAATTGCTCGCTCACTCAACCATTCATTATTTTTGTAGTTAAAAATAATGTCTTTAAATACATTGTTGATAAGTTCGTCTTTTGATGAGATAAAATTACAGAAATTATTTGGAAATGATATCAATCCGCTCGATTCATCGACAGGTACTTGACCATTACCGATAGTCTGCAATTGCTCAGAGAGATCTTCAGCAGATGTATCATTAAGCAATGCAACTCTCATGTTTGTTGTCAGCCGCAGTTTCTTCACATAGCGCCATAGATTGGACGACTTGAGGCAAGCGTTTATTTCGTCGGCAGCCGTAGATCTTGGAATTACTGGCAGTGTTTGGCGGAAATCGCACAGACAATAAAATTATTGCTCCTCCAAAACATCTCGAGTCATTCCGTAAATCTTTCAATGTTCGGTTAAGTGCTTCTAATGCACGTTTATGCGCCATTGTGCATTCGTCCCAGATGATGATTTTCGATGCCGATAAATCTTTGGCCATTGCTGAATTTTTCGTTATATTACACGTTGGTTCTTCAATAGTTTGAAGATTTAACGGTAATTTTAGCGCTGAATGAGCCGTACGGCATCCTTCTAACAATGTGGCTGCTATTCCAGAAGAAGCAACTGCAACCGCTATGTTGGATCTCGCACGAACAGTGGCTAAAACTACTGACATGGGGAATGTCTTACCTGTTCACCAGGGGCATCTAGGAAATATAAAACACCATTTCCATCATCGATTACCTTCATTAAAGTATCATAAACTTCCTTTTGTTGGGAATTCAACAGGGGTACATTCGTTTGAACTACTAAATCTAATTCCTGGTGATCATATTAACGTTCCCGTTCCAATTCTTGATTAAATGCGTCATTCATGTCACGATTGGGCACTGGCATTCCTAACCTGATTAATAAACTACCGCACATGAGGTAACACATATCTTCGATCAAGAGTAAAGCACGATTATGTATCTCCTCATTCATCTCAACATCGTGATTTCTGGAAGTGATACGAATTTGATGTAAAATATCTTCTGACATATTATCCTTATATTTGTGCCACAGGTTACATGGGTTTGATGGAAAGCATGTCTACATTATGATAGCGAATAATGTGCGTATCTGACTTGGAGATGCAGAGATAATGGCTTCAGCGATTGTCGTATCCCAATGGGTATCGTTTTCTAATAAGTACAGTTCTTCACATGCAGCACGATATGTTGGGAATATTACACCATTAACAGTCCGTAGTGTCTCAAACAACCGCAAATAGAAACATTCATCATTCTTTTATTGAACTGTATACATACGACCAAGAGCATCAGTGGAACGCACATCCGGATACCCAGGAACCGCATCGCCTCGCTTCCGTCTTTGAAAATTCTTCGATGAAGCATTCCAAGTATAATAACGTGGCATCTCAGGGTAAAGCAAAGTTCGTAAAAAAACAAAAAAAAAAACTGTCTAACGGAATAAATATTATCCTATGTCCGTCTCCTGGCTCTAAGCTACCTCCCCACCAATTTTCAGCAATATCGGTAAAGCCGTTCTTGAGTTATAAATAGTGTAACTAACACGACTTTCTTTTATATATATAGACTAGCTGACCCGGCGAACTCTGTTCCGCCTTAAAGGCAATAAATAAGCCGATTTTCGAATTTAGTAAGGTAATTTTTTTCTTAGAAAAAAAAAATGAAGTACATTATTCATTTATTATTGTTTCTGCATTTCAATACATAGGTTGCTCTTCACTTAAGTACCTTGTGATACACGACATTTTTTGTTTTCTTATCAGGCGCAAAAACAAACAACGCAGATGGTCTTCCGACCCGTGAACATGCCACATATAATTGACCATGGGAAAAACATAGATGTTCTAGATTCAAACCACAAACTTTTAAGGATTGGCCTTGTGATTTGTTGATGGTCATGGAAAATGCAAGACGGATCGGAAATTGAAGTCATTTAAATTCAAACGGCAAATCGGTTGGGATCATCGGGATCCTCTGAATGAGCACTTCCTCACCTTTGAATTTTCCTTTCAATATCGTCGCGTAAATTACATTGTTCATCAATTTTTTAACCTCCAAACGCGTACCGTTGCACAGTTTTGGTTGGTTTATGTTTCGAAGCATGATTACTACGGAGCCAACCTTTAGGCGTAAATTTTGCGGTGGTAAGCCAGGCACATTCAAGGAGTTTAAAAATTCAATTGGAGAGTTGGTGGCTTCATCTTAATTTGTGACGCAGTCAATAGATTTGAATGAATGCATTGTTTCAATGATCTTATTTTGCATTATATAGTTCAGGTCGTCTACATCTTTATTCTTAGCCTAAAATTGCTCGCTCACTCAACCATTCATTATTTTTGTAGTTAGAAATAATGTCTTTAAATACATTGTTGATAAGTTCGTCTTTTGATGAGACAAAATTACAGAAATTATTTGGAAATGATATCAATCCGCTCGATTCATCGACAGGTACTTGACCATTACCGATAGTCAGCAATTGCTCAGAGAAATCTTCAGCAGATGTATCATTAAGCAATGCAACTCTCATGTTTGTTGTCAGCTGCAGTTTCTTCACATAGCGCCATAGATTCGACGATTTGAGGCAACCGTTTATTTCGTCGGCAGCCGTAGATCTTGGAATAACTGGCAGTGTTTGGCGGAAATCGCCAGACAGTAAAATTATTGCTCCTCCAAAACATCTCGAGTCATTTCGTAAATCTTTCAATGTTCGGTTAAGTGCTTCTAATGCACGTTTATGCGTCATTGTGCATTCGTACCAGATGATGATTTTCGATGCCGATAAAACTTTGGCCATTGCTGAATTTTTCGTAATATTACACATTGGTTCTTCAATTGTTTGAAGATTTAACGGTAATTTTAATGCTGAATGAGCCGTACGGCATCCTTCTAACAATGTGGCTGCTATTCCAGAAGAAGCAACTGCAACCGCTATGTTGGATCTCGCCCGAACAGTGGCTTAAACTACTGACATGAGGAATGTCTTACCTGTTCCACCAGGAGCATCTAGGAAATATAAACCACCATTTCCATAATCGACTGCCTTCATTAAAGTATCATAAACTTCCTTTTGTTGGGAAATCAACAGGGGTACGTTCGTTTGAACTACTAAATCTAATTCCTGGTGATCATATTCACGTTCCCGATCCAGTTCTCGATTAAATGCGTCATTCATTTCACGATTGGGCGCTGGCATTCCTAACCTGATTAATAAACTACCGCACATGAGGTAACACATATCTTCGATCAAGAGTAAAGCACGATTATGTATTTCCTCATTCATCTCAACATCGTGATTTCTGGAAGTGATACGAATTTGATGTAAAATATCTTCTGACATATTATCCTTATATTTGTGCCACAGGTTACATGGGTTTGATTGAAAGCATGTCGAAATTATGATAGCGAATAATGTGCGTATCTGACTTGGAGATGCAGAGATAATGGCTTCAGCGATTGTCGTATCCCAATGGGTATCGTTTTCTAATAAGTTCAGTTCTTCACATGCAGCACGATATGTTGGGAATATTACACCATTAATAGTCCGTAGTGTCTCAAATGACGTTGGCCCACGCACATTTACCAGCAATAACCGCAAATAGAAACATTCATCATTCTTTGGATGAACTGTATACATACGACCAAGAGCATCAGTAGAACGCACATCCGGATACCCAGGAACCGCATCGCCTTGCTTCCGTCTTTGATAATTCGAAGCATTCCAAGTATAATAACGTGGCATCTCCGAGTAAAGCAAAGTTCATAAAAAACAAAAAAAAAAAAAACACTGTCGAACGGAATAAATAGTATCCTATGTCCGTCTCCTAGCTCTAAGCTACCTCCCCACCAATTTTCAGCCAGATCGGTAAAGCCGTTCTTGAGTTATAAATAGTGTAACTAACACGACTTTCTTTTATATATATAGATTAATAAGGTTAGATCACTTCTTGTAGAAGATACGGCGTATTTTTCTCAAAACACAGGTTCGGTTCTCATGAATGTTCTAAATCAGGGTAGGCTAACGATAAGAATTTTATATTCATGATTGCTTTCTCAATCTCTACATTCTTTGGTTCAGTGGTTTGGGTCTGAATTTGTTTAAATATTAGTTTTTCTTCCTAAAATAAGAAATAAGATCAAAAAGTTCTTCACTCCAGTTTATTAAAACATTGTTACATTACTAAATACTTGCCGCAACTTTCCGTCGTCGTTCCACGCAGCAATACTTCCAACCTCACCCCTTGAATAATTTCCACCCACCGCTATGTCCTTATAGATAGTTTAACTCAGTTGTGCGCGCGGCCCTATGTGTGCGTGGGCTTGTAAATATACAACTTTCATTCGTGTGGCAGTGACGACTGCCACACGAATGAAAGTTGTATATTTACACCGCCGCGCGCACAACTGAGTTGAACTATCTATATCAAGAAACTTTTTGCCTCGCACAACCAATCTGTGGAACAAATTATCGCCTGCATTATTTCCGGACTGATACGACCTTCAAACCTTAAAGAAAAGAATGTATTTATACCTCAAAGGCCGGCAATGCGCTTGTGACTCCTGAGTTGCGGGCCTTGGTCACTTCCCGTCTCACACCCGACTGCTCTTTCGCTTCCTACATCAATAAAAAAAGAGACAGGAATAGGGTAGTAACTAAGGACACACCTAACTTACTCCTCCTCCTCTTACTATATAAGAAAATGATTACCATAGATATTTCAACACATACCAGTGTTTTAATAGGTTTTAAGACCAATTTCGGACACGGTCGTAATTTCTTTGCTTCTATAAAAAAACCCACGTTTGTCACCTAGTTGATTGACAAGCACTGTAGCAGTATCAGTGTTCTCAACCCGTCGACTGTCAATCTGGTCGTGTTGTCAGAGTAAAAGAAATAACCAACACCAAATAGTCTATGGTCTAAGATAAGAGATTATAGCAATTTCATTCAATGTTTCAAACGCACGGGCTAACATTAAATATTATATCTATAAGTGGTCTTGAGATGTCGCATTATTAATAAACTAATTGTTTTTCAGTTTTCATATGCCTACCTAAACAAAATAATTATTCAACAGAAACCAGTCTTTATGTTCATTAGTTTAAAAAAATTTAAAGTTAATAAATAATATGTATATTTAAAACATGAAGAAAATTATTTTTAACTTTTAAAGAAATTATTTTTAACTTTTAAATTAAAATAATTCACGTAATATTTATCTGCAAAAAAGTATAGAAATATAGTGCATTTTAAATAATATGTGCTATAAAGTTAAATATTATGTAACAACGATGACATAAAACTATATTTTGAAATGTCGGTATGAAAGTCTTATGCATCAAGGAAATAAAAGATTCCAAACGATGCAAATTCGAACTGTTTTTTTTTTTCATTGAAAAATGTTAAATGCGAAAAGGGAAGAATGAATATTTCAATAGTGTGGTATGGTTGTAGGGGTATTAATTTTCTTTATAGTTCACACAAACAATCTAAAATGTTTTTTTCCCTGTACTTTCTTGGAATATTAAGGCTGATAGAAGACATCCAGAAGTGGACTTAATTTCTGCAGTGAACATGCCATAGAGATTTAATTAACTTAACAAAGTTTGAAGTCGTTTAACAAACTTTAACGTATAAGTTACAGGTGCGTTGCGCTATAATAACCTTAATGTAAAAAAGTATATTTCTCTTTTGGCTTGGACCATCATCTAAAATGTAGTCACTCTACGGGGAGCCAACAAGAAATGTGTCGAAACCCGACTAAGTGTTAAATAATACATTAACGTGGCAATACATAATTGAAGAGATGCCACCATAACGCGAAAACTACGAATTTAACACACACAGTTACTCAAATGGTACAAGTTCTTGCTATTTATGGCTAACTTCTTATTAGTAACGTAGGTTTTGCCTAGATTTATGCGCTTAATGATTGGTTAAAAATTATACTTCTGCAAACCCCGTCATCTCAGCTTTTTTTTAACAACTAACCAAAACTATGAATATGAATTCTAATTTCTTCTCTTCTAAAAAAAAATCTTTGTATCATCCCTTTTTAAACGAATATGGCCTACGAAAACATACCATATTTAGAAAACTCAATGTTTTCTTCTAAAACAATCTGTGCTATAAAATATTATATGTTATAAAAATCGATACATAACTTCACATACATAACTTCACACACATACATAGCTTCACAAATCGCAATGCCGAACGCACTCGCTGTCTAAAGCACTTGGCCCTCAGGAAATTCGAAACAGTCGAAATAAGACGGCCAGGCGATCCATTATTAAATTTACTGCACAAGTGCTATACATTCCACTCTTGAAAAAATTGTATTTACAATGTTCATATAAATACTATTGCCTTTCTCAACCGTAGAACGTTCGTACTGATACATGATCCTAGAATTGTCGATGTCCTCCTCATCTTCCCACAATACCTCCTTCTTGCTACTCGTTTTCCATATCCTAATTTACCTTCTTACTGTGTCCCGCCTAAAACTAATTATATTCCCAAGGAGGATTATCACAAGGTAGGCGATAAAACAACCTGTTAAAACAACAATATACATTACGCATACCCCACAGGAAATTGGGAATGGCAAGACGATCATGATGATCTGTTTACGAATTAGATATATTCAAAAAAATCCCACATGCATGATAAGTAATAAAATGCTTATTAATTTTGCTATATAACGCCATCAATTGCGCAATTTACATAAACTAATTTAAATATAGAAACGAACGAAAACTAAAACCATGCTTCGGCACAAATGGGCCGGCTTGACTGGAGTACTACCACGGCCTCGCCGAATTCCGGCTTCAGGACTTCTGTTTCTTGTTTCAGAGGGGGACGGGTGGGGGGGCTTAAAGGGTGACATATCTTACTTGTGACTCTTAAGTTGCAGGTGTGAATGACTGGCGATAACCACTTACCATCAGGCAAATTGTTTACTCGTTAACCCCTATTCCATAAAAGATTGGATATTTTTAGAAATGTCCAAAGAAAAGACAATAAAATAATCTCTTATACGCCTTGGTTTAATAGATAAATTGGTCAAGTAGACTACTGCGGAGTCAAAGTATTCAATAAGAGTCTCAAGAGTTTATCGTTCCCCTCGCAACAAATTCCACATTTATTAAATTCTTTAATTTCTTTTAGCTTTAATTTTTAATACAGTAAGGAATTTTATAATTACCGATGGAGATCATCTTAGGCTTGGCTTGTTAAGATTTTACTTGATCAATATCGTTTAATCATCCAAACTGGTATATTGAAATTTATTGCTGATCAGAATACCATTTTTATATAAAATACACACTCTAGACATTATATTTTATGGCCTTTTGATTATTCATTTTATATATGAATAAAAATGACCGTAATTTTCTTTAATACAGAAGTTTTTTTTTACATACTGTTAACTTTTTAAGAATACGTTTAGTATTCGCTAAGGGTTTAGCGGAATTAAGTTGTATTTAAATTAAATAAGTTATTTATAATAATATATGTGAATTATTTTAGTGTTGGGCAAAACTTTGTGTACCGTTTCATATACGTTATTTCTGGTGCAAGGTAATTTTTATGTTCATATTCTAAAACTCCTGCGAGGTTTTGTAGCTAGTCTTCATAGAAAACCGCAGTTAATAATAATACGCCAATTCTGTTTGTAACTTGCAAGTCTTTTCTTTCATATGACTCTCTAATCATCTTAACATAACTTTCCTAAATATTAAATTGATTATACACCTAAATCTAGTTTACCTTCCGATAGATCAAACTATAAACAATTACACCTTCAACTAGCTTTCAGAATGAAGAGATTAAATTACAAAAAAACGCACCGCGTCTAGTCCGATACCATTCCTGATTATCAACGCCCATCCGCCATGGTACGACTTAATTAAATAATCGAAAATATGTCGGCTCGCCCTTAATGCTCGTAACGTATGAAATACTAATGAGTAACTATTTATATTTGTGTAACTAGTTATTGATACTAACTAATATTATATGAGGCTGAGTTAATTTATTTGTTTATGTGTATAAATAATATAAATTATATATATATAAATATTTATATAATAAATATAAATTTGGATAAATTTTCTCTTATATTGCATAAATATTGTTTTTATTTGGTGTGTATTTTATGTGACATCTTTGCCATTTGTAAATTCATTTGGCAGAGGCACATTGCGATGACTTTTATGCGATCATAAGGATGCGGAGCGCGTCAATGTCCAATCAACTGCTAGGCAGCACCAATGGCATCCTGAGAGTATTGTCCGAGAGGTGGGACCTTCCAGTCCTACAAGGGTGGATGCGTCTGTATGCTCGCGCATCCCCACGATTTATTTATGTAATTTGTTTTAGTTGTAATGTAGAACTAACATAGTCGTAAGATGATTGTTACTAACATATTTATGGACTAATGTCTGAAATAAATGTATTATTATTTCAATTATTTTAAATAAAATTGGCTTTAATTCTAGATTTACTCCATTTAAATTTAAAGAAAATATTCCAACTCTACGTGTAGTAAATTAATGAATGAAAAATATAGCTTAATATAATTTATCGTGACGTGGTAGATTAGATACATATATCGACCAATTAAATGCAAAACTGAAAACTGATCTAGCATTAATCAGCATTTCGTTCAATTTATAAATAATAGCATTTATTATATTATAATTCATCAGAACTGAGATGAACCTTGCAACCAAATT